GGTGCACGCCTGCGCCAGGCGGGGACGCGACGTTTGGCTCGCGCCTGAGGTCACCCGCTCGCGCGGGGGTTTCATCGGCTTGGCACCGGAAGTGGTAGCATAGGTGTCCTTTTTGGTGGATGGATGGCGATTCCTGGCTGACCTGGTGGTTTGATCATCTACCAGGGATATCCATCTATGTCCCGTAGAAGGACACCTATGTGCCTTAGATTCTGATACGAGATACTGAACGGGGCGATCGGGCACTTAGTAAGTGGTGAGTAAGCCTAGGTTATAACCCACGGAAAGAAGACTTATAACCATGGAAAGTGGGGTATAACCAGGCTGAAGTAACCACTCACTAAGCGCCCGATCGCCACTTTAAGTACAGGCCACAGGTTGTAATCAGCTTCCCTTTGATTGGTGCTTTGCTTTGGTGGTTTGACGTTTTTTTGCGGGTAAGTTCCCGTTTGACCTCTGCAAGAACCAGGGGTTCAAATAGAAGCCACCAATCCAAACCACCAATTGACTAGCCGTGGCGTTTGTGAACCATGCCTGGCATGCACGTTGATTCAGATTCTTGCTCAGTACCAACGGATGTTATGTTGTGTAAGAAGCCGATGACTGTAGCTGGCAGGAAACCATGAACCATTACTGCATCTATCATAGGGAGCACAGTTTGATGGTCGGTACTTTTTGCTTCATGTTTAGAGCCATTGCCATCATTGCGAGTTCGGCTGGGAGAATTTGGGAGCCATAGCCATCAGTTGAGAGAAAAAAGAGTTCACTTGCCAGGTCCAACCAGCTGGCTCGCGCAGAAAGTTGGATCGAGAAGATGGAGCGTGCAGGCCAGGGTTTTTGTCTGACAGCCACCGGTGATTGGTGAGCTCAGTGTAACGCAATGCCAATGTCCATCGCAACAGGCATCCAGGCAAACGTGGTGACCTACAACAGCGTCATCAATGCCTGCGCACGCTGCGCCAATGCTGATCGCGCGGATACCTGGTTTCGCAAGATGGTCTTTGCAGGCGTGAAGCCGGCGCTATTCACCTTCAACTCCCTCATCAATGCGTATGTCAAAGCGGGTGCTCATGGGCGCGCGGAAGATGTACTGGAAACCATGCAGGCAGGGCATCAGCGCTGAGCGCATCAACCATGATTGTTTTTGCTTCTCTCTCGCTCTCTCTCTCTCTCTCTCTTTCTCTCTCTCTCTCTCTTCCTTCCTTCCTTCCTTCCTTCTTTCCTTTTTCCTTTCAGTCTTTCTTTCTTTCTTTCTTTCTTTCTTTCTTTCTTTCTTTCCTTATTTTTTTTTGTTTTTGTGTATTTTATCTTTTTTTCTCTCCTTTTCTGTCTTTTTCTCTATTTTTCTCTCTTTTCTCTCTTTTCAATGTCTTTCTCTTTTTTCTTTTTCAATCTCTGTCTTCCTATTTGTCTTTCTCGTTTTTTTTTTTTTTTTTTTCTCTCTCTCTCTCTCTCTGTGTCTCTGTCTCCCTCCCCTCCCCTCCTTGGCTACCTCTCTCTTTTGTTCCTTTCGCAGCACGAGGAGCATGGCATCAAGCCGGACGCGGTGACCTACAGCACTCTGATCCACGCCGCCGTGGGAGCAGGCGATCCTTCACGCGGCGAGCTTTTGCTGAAGAGCATGAAGGAGAAACACGTCTCTCCCAGCACCTTCTGCTACAACTCCGTGATCCAAGGCTGATGGCTTGCAAAGGGAGGGATGAAACATGTGCTAGCTGAGTCAGCGGTTCAGCTAAACCGCTTGCCTCGTTCGGCGGTTCAGCTGGTGCTTAAGATTTCGCGGTGATCCCCTCCATGCTGATGCTCTGTTGGCAACTGTGGATGGTTGCGAAATCCATTTCGCACCACCAAATGAAACCATGGTTGAAACCATACCGTTGGTTGGTATTTCCGGTGGGAGCATCGAATCCGGACTCCGTTGGTTTTCTGAACGCTGCGCAATTAAACCAAAAAGACAAACACGGGACTTCGATTTCCTGGAATGTCCTGAGTACTTTTTGGTGTGAGCCCGGGACAAAAAAAGGGAAACAAAAACCGCCCGCGGGGACGTCTCGCGTTTTTTGTTTGCTTGTTTTTGAGTGTCCCAGGCTGGTGCGAGCAGGGCTCCCCGGACCGCGCGCTCTTCTGGCTGCGGGAGGCCAGCGCTCAGAAGTCGTCGCCTCCGCTCAGCGGGGGGCCGCTGGTGGCTGCGCTGCTCCGGGCCGAGCGCTTCGAGGAGGCGGCGCACTGGGCCGCCCGCCTGCAGGCGGGGGGTGGGGGGGGGGAGTTTGCGCCGCAGAGCGGCGGGAGATGGAGGCCTTGGCCCAGAGAAGTGGGCGGCAGGTGGTTTTGAGTTGTTGGAGCCGCTTGGTTATGCAAAAGCCAAAATTTGGACACTGGCCACATGTTTTTGAGGGCGCCCAAAAGAAAGAAAATAGGACACTCCCGTAGGAATGTGTGAAGGAGTTGCGGCCACGAGACTAAGATGGTGGTCTTCCTTTTGGTTTCCCAAAACTACCGAAAAGGGGTACCAACTCGAAAACAGCACCGGCAATGTGAAAGACTTGCGGCCACTTTTTCAGATTCTCGTGTGAATTCTGAGGTCCCAAAATTGTGTGACCAGTTGTCGGGTTTGTTGGAGGATGCATGAGGACTTGAGGCAAGCCCACCCACATACCTTACACAAGTGTAACTATTCTCTTGAAGCGCGGAGTGCGTGTTTCAGATTGGCTTCAGAGCGCGCCTGTGTTTCACCTTGAAGCTTCGAACGCAGGCATTCCGAATGCAGAGTTCTAAGGCCTTTCCAATTACACTCTGGGGACCTTGCGCAACACAATCCAAAAGAAATAAATAACCAGGTTTTATCTCCAAATTGGCCAGACCGGGGTGATTTCCCAAGGGCGTAATCCCAGTAGGACCCCCTTGGAGTTGAGTTTGAGCCGGGTGCATCGGGCCATTCGGGCGTCGAGTCGAGTCGGGCGTGGAGTCGCGCGTCGAGTAGGTGCCGCGCTTCGGCCCGGGGAGCGCGGCGGCGGTGGCGCAGGCGTTGGAGGGCAAGGGCTCCCGGTGAGGCGATGGAGGCGACCGCGACGGCCGTTCGACTGAGCCGCGCGTTGGAAGCCGCGGCTCGGCCGATGTCCCGTGAGCCGAAAATGGGGAAGAGCCCTTTCCGTCGCTCTGAGAAGGTGTACCATTCTTTTTTGCGTGGCCCCCGGAAATTGGTTTTTCGTCCCCAAAACGGGCGGTTTCCCTCTTGGTCTCCCTTTTTAACCAACAGGGGTGGCTCCAAAAGAACAGACAGACTATCCATCATGTGAGATGCAGCTCGGCGCCTCTCTTTGTCTTTCAGCTCAAAGGGCGAAACCATGTCGTCCCCGAGAGCACATCCGCTTAGCGAAATTCGAGGGCCGTGAGCTGGTCACATGGCCGCAGATGGGCCAGAGCCTTGGAATCTTGGACCTGCGGTTCTAAACCCTGGTGTGTGTCTTTTTTGTTTTGTTTTTAAAGTACTTCTGAGGCTGCACAAAAAAGGGAAAACCAGGGGAAGCTTCTTTTTTTTTGGGGGGGGGGGGAGGCCCCTCAAAGACAGAACCACGTCTTGATGAGTTCCGCAGATGAGATGCGCGCCGCAGGCCCTCAGATGAGGCGAATTTGTTGTCGCAGCGAAGCGGTTCGGTGCGCTCAAAGCACAGCAGAAGGGCTCTGCAAGTGGCTCCACCAACAGAGGGAACGGGGAAAGGGGTGACAGGCGTTAACGGATGCTAAACGCATTTGCTCTTTTGAGTACCCTCCCACCAACTAACATGGAAGTGCAAAGAGGCCCTTTCCAAGCGGAAAGCAGTCTTTCTACAGGGGTCTGTGCACAAACCCATGTTAGCTGGTGGGATGGTAGATCTAATTCTATTGGCAGGATTAGCTGCGTACCTGGTTTTCCAAGGGCCAGAGAAGAGAAGTGTCGCGGTTGGCCCCTGGAGAGTTGCCAAGCAGGTTCGCCAAACGCATCCGTTTTATCTCGGTGTTTCCCAGCCATCTCTGGTCCCGTATTTTTTTTTAGCTGCCTTTAGTTGGCTGAGTGGTAGTCGCCGAATTTAACCCACACAAAGTGTTCGTCACTTTTTAGATCTGAAAACGGGCAGCCAAGTCTAAGTTTGTTTGTGACCGAGCGTGAGTTCTTTTTTTTGGGTTTGTCTCAACATAGGGAACTCCCCAAAGTGGGTAGTTTCCTTCTCGTTTCCTCAAAGAGACAGCGGTTTCCTTCTGGTTTCCCGAAAAAGACAGTTTCCTTCTGGTTTCCCGAGAAAAGACAGCGGTTTCCTTCTGGTTTCCCCATAAAAGACAGCGGTTTCCTTGTGGTTTCCCGAAAAAAGACAGCGGTTTCCTTCTGGTTTCCGAACAAAAAGACAGCGGTGTCCTTCTGGTTTCCCGGAAAGAACAAAACAACAAAACACAAACAACAACAAACCAAACACACACACACACACACAAAAATAGGGAACCCCGAAAAAATGGGTGGTTTCTTTGTGGTTTCCCAAAACACCCAAAAAAAGGGTCCCAACGCAAAAAGCAGGTCGAGCAGCCCATCCGCAGGTGAAGCGAAAGGAGCCTTTGGCCAAGCTGCAGGCGGCGGAAGACTCCGTCTTCAGCACCCGCTGGGAGATCTTCACGCCCTACCTGGCGGAGCCTTGGTCGAGTTTTTTTTTGTCCTGGGGTCAGGGGCTCCTGGTTCTTTTTCGGGTTACAAGGTAGACGGAGTCCCTTTGTTTTTTTTCAGGTTGCCGCAAGGTAGCGGACAGGGGAGGGTTTATTTCGGGGGAAGTGTTCCCTTTTTGTTGGGGCTGCCCCAAGGTAGAGGCGGATACCTAGTTTTTTTTTTCCCCCGAAGGAAATCAGCCACTCCTGGGTTCAAGTTGACATCAAAAAGTGGAACAGGTTGCTCCAAGGTAGACCTAGATACTAAGGGGGTTCTCCTTGAATGGAAACCAACCAGCTCTGGGTTTAAGTTATCTTGTCATGGGTGTCCTTTTGATCTTGTTCTGATACTTCTGAGGCTCAAGCATCCAGAACACCAGTACAGGACCCCCCCCCCTTGCTCCCCCAGGTTCATGGCTGGCTCATATTTTAGGGTGAAATGAGTATCAATGTCAGTTCCTGGTTGCCGACAGTGACGTGCACCCTACTCATTGTAGCTACCCTAAGGGCTGGGTTTCCCATTTACCCATAACCAAGGGTTCAAATCCAAATCCAAATCCAAGCCAATTTAAGCGGGTTACCTGATGGCTAGTGGAGCAAGGGCTTATGACTGTCTCAACTCAGCTGCCTTCTCGTTCGGCCGGGGACTTGTTCTTCGCCTACCCACTGAAGGAGCTTCTGAGGCCCTCCCGTGTTCGATTGTTTTTTTCTGCGGGGGAGATCTCCGCATCTCATGGGTAAGGCGAGAGATTGAGATGTTGGGTGGTTAGCTGAGGGATGTTCCAAACAGAGAGCTTCAATGTTCGTAATTGCCGGTGAACAAATGTCGAAGGGATGCAGGTTTGTTTTTGCAATCTCAAAGACTCGCACTGAATTTGACTTGTGCGAAGGGCACTGCTATACTGAGGAGTATTGGGGGACTCTTGCCAAAGTCTCAGCCTGCGCGGCCAATGCAGTCAGCCAGTCTTCACAGAGATTGAGGCTCGCATGAGAAGCTGTCAACCTTCTCCGTTGTTCACCCGGTCAAAATCTATTGAGGTCATCACTGCGACATTCCTCTGCAATGTTGACGCCCGAAGCACTGACGCCTCCTTCAAGTCCATATGCCATGCCGCCTGGATGCATTCGAACGTGTCATTCGAAATGGAGGCCAAAGCAGGTGTGCAGGCAGCCCCAAGTCTTAGCAACTTCTCTCTGGACTTGGCATGCTAGAACCATGGGCAAACAAAACAAGAAGGTGGATGCTTTAGACCGAGCCGCGCATCCAAGGCCTTCATGGTGGTGGGTGTGGCAGGGCCCTCGGGCCCCCAGAGAGGCCTTCCGCCGGAATTTTTGGCCGGCAGGTCTCAGCCACCAAGCACATGACCGGGGCCAGCCTCAACCCGTCTGGGCCTGAGCCGCTGCGTTTGGCCGAGAATTCCAGCTTCAGTCTCCACAGACCCGAATGACTTTGATTACAGGTCAGGGGTCAATTGCGCAAGATGTTCATTTCAAAACCTGTACTTTGCTTATTTGGTTTGACTCGGCACTCACAAATATCAGGCTGTGGCCTTGAATTTATGCAGAAATGGGTGGTTCTCGGAGGCTTGATCATTGCGGGGTGATCAGTTGCGATTCGTGGCGGGGTTAAGATGGGTTTGCAATGCGAACCACAGTTTGGAGGGGTCCCACCCATTTTGAGCTATGTGTATACATATATAGATAAATAACAAATATATATATATATAAAATAGGAAACATAAATAAAAACACAAAAACACATCCCCGGCCCGTGCCAAACATCCGCGATGCGATTGAGGTCCGTGAGCTTGGCGCTGGCTCTGGCTGGGCGCCAGCGCTTGTCCACGGCGGGGCTTCTGTGCGTGGCCGGGTACCCGGCACCCGGCACTGCTGGGTTTCGCTTGCCGATCGCCTGCAATGGTTATGGATTTGAGGAGCTGGAACCTGCAAGTGCCCTGAATCCCGGAAAATTTTGATGTCCACCAAAGGGTGCGGGATCCATCAAAAAGCACAGCCAAATCTGGCTGGCCTCATTTTCGCGCTGATCATCAAGTCGGTCGTGTGCCATTCCACCGAATCCCAGCAGCGTTGAGGAGGCTGCAGGTGATGTCATGATTCTGAAGATTTGCATACTGACACTTGTTTGTTTGTTTGTTTGTTTGTTTGTTTGTTTTTGTTTGTTTACTTTTGTTTTGCCTTGCCTTTGATTGTTTGCTTACTTGTTTGGCCGGATGCTTGCTTGCTGGTTGCTCGCTTGGCTGGTTGCTCGCTCGCTCGCGCGCTTGCTTGCTTGGCTGGATGGCTAGTTGGTTGCAGCTAGTTGGTTGCAGCTAGTTGGTTGCTTGGTTGCTTGTGGGCTTGTTGGCTTGCTTGCTCGCTTGATGGGTTGGTTGGTTGGTTGGTCGGGTTGGTTTTGGTGTGCAAGTCGGCCCTTGGGTTGAGCAGTAGCTCTCACACAACTGCCGGCTTCCTCCACTGGCGCTCAGGCCCAGGTGCTTGGAGCTATCACTGCGGCAGCGCTTTGTATCCAGGCGCGATGGGACCCGGTGACCTGGGGCCTGGACGACAGTTCCCGAGTCGCTTCACTTGCATCAAGTGTTTTGTGGTGGGGACCCCTGAAAATTGCGGTCTTCCTGTTGGCTTCCCTTCAAAACCAACCGAAAGGAGGGAACCCCAGACAAGACAGACCCAGGTACATTTCGTCTTGCGCATGCGAGGCCGGCGTTGCGAAGGAGCTGACTCTGGGGCCGCAGGGCCACCACAATTGGTTTCAGGCCTGGAAGATGCAGCTGGGATGGCCTGGCACCGCGAGTTTGTCAGGTTGGATTGCTGGAAACCATCTATGCGTGCATGATGTGCGCCTTGTCTTTGATCAAGCTATGGGATACAACGGCCAACACCAGGGTGCAGCCAAGTCCTGGCTTCTTGCTGCTGAAAGGCATTTCCAACATGAACCAAGGTCTCGTATACCTGAACTGTGCGGCTTCAAAGAAGAACAACCCCAAAGAGGACCAGAATGGTGAGGATCTGAGACCGGGAACGTCAGAGAAGCTCTTAGCCCTCTTTGCGCTTCAAGCTACCGGCACCACTGGACCAGGCTTCGTTGGCATTGCTGTCGGCTTTTGTGCCCCTGCTGCACTTAGACTCTTCGCCATCTCGGATATCTCGGATGGCGGGAGCTATTGGTCGCCTTTTGGTTTCGATTCGACGTTGAGGTTACCTTGCCAGCCAGAACGCTACGCAGGGCATTTGCAGCACTGCGTGGTGCTCAGGTGACATTACGCAAAAAGGCTGTAATGTTGACCCCGGATTAGTAAGCCAGTCCTATTCATAGGGGGTGTTCCCCTCCAAAGGGATAACCCCCCACTACAAGAAAACACCCCCTTTCATTCAACCATGGGTTTACTTCTCCGGGGTCAGCAGTACCAGCTGCTGCTGCTTGCCGCCAGCCGTGAGCCTAGCGAGGTGAGCAACTCCGCGATCGCCATAGGCCTGATCGCGTACGGCAAAGGTGGCGGCACGCACATCAGCCACGGCCATGGCCCGAGCAAACTACTGGGGTCATTAGTTTGACATGGGGTTGTCAAAGTCAGAACATGGTTTCGGTTGTTTCCCTTTAACCCATCACTTAGGAGGTGACTTTGGTCATGGTAAAATAATGAGGCCAGAAGTACAGCGGAGGGCAGCCGGAGAGCACCGAATTTGCCGAGGCGTGGGCTACTTTTTGTATGACCTGCCGCGGGCTGAGGGCAAGAGTTGGACCTGTACAGATTCAGGCGGCTTTGGTCTGGGCCATTTAGGAAGGTCTTGGTTGACTCTTGAAATTCTGTTCTGTTGGAGTTCCAAGATGCAGGCTATTTTGGCACACACCACGCACACGCACTCATCGAGAGTCCCTGATAGGTGCTTATGCAGAGAGACGCTTTGGTGGCTTCGACATCAATCCTCCCAGAGAGTTGGGAAAAGCGAATGGTTCCCCTACCCTTAACACTGGTGTGTCCTTGACAGCTCCTGGGGCTTTTGTTTCGGCCATTGGGAAGCTTGTTCCATGGACGCGCAACCCATCCGAGGTTGGGCGCCTTTCTGGCGGCTGGGGCCTACCGAGTTGTGAGGCCGCAGGTGGGATGCATGCGATTGGCAACCATTCGCAACCATTGGGTGGGCGCCTGTCGCGCATAGGCCATGGCCTTCCCTTTGTGTTTGGCTGTTTGGCGGCTTCCCCACCAAAACTGGCCATCCCCAAAAAGGGTTCCCTTGTTCTACCGGGGTCGCTGAACTGGGATGGCGTGAGGAGTTCCGCAGCTTGATCATGTCCTCAGCCATCCAGGAGGGGGAAGCTCAGGTTTGAGAAAGGGACTGAACCCAACGTTTGATTTTTGGGTCTAAATAAGCCCCCCTGTTTGGGGTTCCATTTGAGACAAGCCCATGTCCTATTCCCTTTCTACTCGCGTATTTGGCTGCCTCCATGTGCTGCCAAGCTGACGGTGCCGGTGAAAGGCACCGGGCCTGGAGTGCCATCATGGCAGGAGAATATCCAGGAGAGCGCCCTGCTGGGTGCGGAGTACATCGGCACTTTTTACATCGTCCTCACGCAGGAGGGGGGGCAAGTTACTATTGTTTGCACCGCGAGCTTGTTTGCGTGCACCAGCACACCTGCAATTTAGTGGTTGCTGCTCTTGGACACCTGCTTCCATTTGTGTTAAGCTACCACCCCCAGATAGACTTAAACCCAGAAGTTTTCTCGTTTTTCCTTGGAGTAGCTTAGAAAAGTGGAGAACGCGTCACTGGACACGTCAGAGGTATTGACCATGCTCTCCAGCACCGGCGGTGACATCGGGCCTCAGGCAGGGAGCCGAGGCTTTTTCATGGTTTGCCCGGGTCTGGGGCCGCTCATTTGTGTGTTTTGGTTCGGTTTCTCGGGGGGTTAGAGTTAGTTGAGCAGCGGGTGACTTTGCTCATGGCAAAATGGGGAGGCCCGTCGTTTTTTTTTCTTTTGCCGCGAGACGTTCTCCCAAGGGAACAAGAGTGAGGCTTGGGGCACGGCGGCCGTGGTGGTGGCCATGGTCTATGCCTGGTGCTCGAGCGGACATCAATGGATTCCTATTCAGATCCATGGCATTTTGTTCTTAGCCACAATGAAAGCTCGGTTGGATGAAGGTACGGGGCAGTCCCAGCCAAATACAGGCCACCTTTCAATCTCCTTACATGGATTGTGTAGACAATTTTAAGACTTTTGATCGTGACTCATGTGTATGAGAGAATTGATCTGCAAAGCAGTGACGGCTTTGTTGTTTTGCTTACAGCACGCCATCCTTTCCACCTCGCATTCTGCCGCGCCGCATGATCCATATGCTTCTTGTTGGATGTGCTCAGACTGCTGCGAATCAACCAGGCTGCTCAGATAGTATACTGCAACAAAAGGAGCCCTTCCACAGCAAAAGCGGCAAGGCCATTTTCTCCTTTGACATGCGGAGTCTTCTGAACCCAGAAACCCAACTGGCCTGAGTTCCACAGCTCAGCCAGTCGAACGAGTGCTGCAAAGGTCTCAGACAACCTTACATTCAAGAAGTTTGCTTGGAACCGTTTAGCTCCATGGCTGGGAGTGCCGCACAAGCCCGCGATGATGACTCTGGCACGGATCCCGACATGCCGCCACTCATCCCTGTGTCCCCGGGACCTCTTCCAGAGCCCAAAGCCACCAAGTCGATGCGCGCCTGGGCGACCCAACAGCTCCGGGGCCGGGGCCGGGGTCGCAAGGCACGCGAGGCGCGCGCGGGAGGACGCCGGCAGCGGGCTCCGGCGCCGGTGCCGCTGCCCGAGGCTCTGCCGGCGTCGGCGGCGCCTCTGCTGCTGGGCCCCGGGGCTGCGGCGCCGGGCGCTTCGCCGCGGACGGTGGACTTCAGCCGCCGGGCGACCGACCTGGCGGCGGTGCTGGACAAGCTGCCCGCGGTGCTGGGCCCCGAGGCTGCCGTGGTGCCTCAGAAACGGAGGCGCTGCTTTGATGGAGCGCTGGAAGAGATCGAGGTGTCTGCGGCTGCGAGCAGAAAGGCGGCCAAAAGCCAGGAGGACGACCTCTACGACGCAGACGATTCGGAAAGTGAAGGTGAGATCGATGAAGATGCTGACGATGATACCCCGAAAACGACAGGCGCTGGATTGTCACCTTTACGCGTGGCAGTCCCAAGGTGACATGAGTTTCTCAACAAAGCACCCCGAAACCGTGCGAGTGGTTTCCTGCAGAAAGGGGCATCGTGCGTCAGGTGGCGAGATAACCAACAAAACAAGGTGATAAGTTATAAGTTAGACCGTTCAGTGGGTTATCTCACCAGGCCAGCCAGCCCAGCCAAGCACTAGCCAACTAAAGAAGAAAGAACAGCTCATAAACCAACTGACCAACCAACCGACCGTCCAACAGATCCCGCCATGACACGGAACTTGAGCCAAGCCCTCTTCACGTCCAAGTTTCCCTTTGGACCTGCGAATAGGCCTTACTTATGCCCACTGCGCCCACTGCGCCCACTGCGCGGCCAGGCGGCGGCGGCGGATTGGTGCTGCGGGAGCAGCCGCCTGGGGCGCCGAAGGCGGAGAGCGCCGGTGAGGAGGTGCTGAAGGCGGTCGGAGGCGCACGGCGAGTTTTTTTTCTTCTTATTTTTTTTCATATAAACTTTATGTTGGGATGGGTTGAAGAAGGGTAGCCACACCACTGATACCACCAGGTGGAAGGCTTCGCAAGGTTCGGAGCAGATCAATGTCAAGCAGGGAGAGTTCTGGAAGGTTTCAGGTGGTAGGTGGTTGCGGGACGAGAGGCAGAGTTTTACGTTGAAGTTCCATGCAGCTGTGACTTTCCGAGCCGGTCCCGGAGGGATGGCGCCTGGGCTTATTCTTTGCCACCCGAGTTTTTGGCAATGTTTGGCTCCCAAAAATAGGACGTGACAACGTGGCAGTTTTTTGTGGGCTCTCTTTACACCGACCCCCAAATCGGATATTGCTGCATCTTGAGCTACGGAAGAGCAAACAGCACATTTCATGCAGACCTTTGACGTGAGCAATCACAATATGTTGTGTGTAGCTGATGCAAGTCCAATATGGTCAGATAGCGCAGCCTAGCGCCGCTCACTCGGCCATCGCTTTGCAGCACATTCATTGCAAGCAATTCTATGCCGCAAGTGCCTGGTGGAACTCGATCATATTCTTCGTGGCTTGATCCGAGGTCCGGCGGCAAAGCCCGGCGGGAGCTCGTTTGGCCCACGCTTCAGGGATCTGTCGAAGCCGGCAGCCCAGCGAATCGGGGTCTAAAATGACCTTCTCCAAATTCAAGAGTCATGCTCGAGGGCGCCAATGAAGCAGTCTGGAGGTTACCGGGAGTTCAACGTTTGCAGACTTTGCGGGCAGGGGGTGTGCCTAGTGCGTACAGCATGTGTTCGGCGCGCGTCCTGGGAGCGCGTCCGTGATGCGCATACGGTGGGTGAATATTATACTGTGCGTACGGCGTGCGTGTGTCAAAGTTTGTGATGATTCGGTTCCGGAGGTATAACTTGCCTGTGCGATATGCAGGGAATGACAGACGCTTCAACACCTGAAAAAATGAAGCTGCCTGCCCAAAAAGGCTCGAATGCACTTTCGGCTTTTGGATCAGGGAAGGCCAGAAGCGGAACCCTCCCAGTTTTTGTGCGTGCACTCAAACACCTCCGGAACTTCTGTTGCCCTTCGGATTAGCAAATGTTAAGGCATCCCAAATGCCGTAGTTGCACTCACTTATCTTGCTGGTTCTCAGCAGGGAATGAGGGAATGACCCATAAATGAACCATCCTCCATGGTTTCCTACAAGGGAATCTCTAGGTTTATTCCCAACAGCAGCAATGCGGATAGATCTCCCCAATGGGTGCATCTGTGGCATTGCTTTCCGGCATGGGGCGTGGTATCGTTTCGGTCCCAAGGTTTTCTCGTTTCGGTCCTAATTTTTTGGCTTGTTTCAATTCAATTTTCACACACGGTGTTTGCTCATTTCGGTCCTAGTGCTCGTCTGGTCTCGGTCCTGATTCTGGTGTGTCCTGAAAGCTGTGCTACTCAGAGGCTGCAAATTCTGCCCACTACTGCTTGTTTGCCAGGTTGAACAACTAGAACCGGAATGGGCATGGCTCAAAATTAAGCCACTAGGGGACCGCGGGTTTTAGTCCTTGTTTCCATTTCAAAGGGGTTCCATTTTGGGTACTGATTATTGACCCACAGCCAAAGGAGAATCCACTGGGTGCGCAGGTGCGGTAAAACCGGCCAACATGGCCCAAGCCTGGGATCAAAGCCTGAGTCAACATTAGGACCAAACAAATTGCATAGCCGGCATAGCCGGGGCCCATCGCCCTGGCTAGCCACTGAAAGAGGCGATCGGGTACTTAGTCAGTGGTTAGTAAGCCTGGTTACCCACGAAACGGAGACTTTCAACCATGGCTTTTGTGGGTTACCACATGGCTTTTGTGGCTTACAACCATGGTTATTTCCCACTTAACGTACTTGGCTGCTCACCCCTTTAAGCAGCTCCTTTTGGAGTGCTTAGACTTACCACAACTATGGTTATTAATTCATTACCCACTTACTAAGCACCCGCTAAGCTCCTTCGAGTGCTTAGACCCCACTTCCCTCAAATCGATCCCTTTCAGATTTCCGCCAGCTGAGGTCCGAGCTGGTGGAGGCTCGCCAGAAGTGGCAGCTGCACAGCTTGGCGGGGGTCAAGGCCACCAGTCCTGAGGAGAACCGCAAGGCGGCCGGCGCGCCTCGAGCGAAGCGCGAAGCAGCGCAGATCGAGTGGGCGGCCCCGTCGTTTTTTTTTTTTTTTTAATTGGAGAACGGGACGTCCCCCAAAAGGGCAACCAGCGGCTTTGTGGTTGGTTTCCAATTTTAAACCAATACAACAAAAAGGGCGGGGGTACCAAGATTATGCCCTGGGACTCGCCCGATTTCCAGATAGCGCCTGGTTATGTTGGTTTAGTTAACTGATTGTTTCGGAAAATAACACCGCTAGCGTGCAATGCCAGGGTGTAACAGGATGATGTTTAGATAAATTTCATGGAGACACAGCTGCTCAAAGCGCATGCAACATGTTCCATGCGTTCTGAGCTTGGTTGTTGCGATGAGCTTTTTACTCTCTCTCTCTCTCTCTCTATGTATGCTTCTGTGAATGCATCTCAACCATTGTTTGACATGCCCCCCCTTGAGCGACTTTATAGCGCATGCGGGAACATGAGCAAAGAAACAAGCCTGATGTTTTTTCACATCATTCTTACATATAGTACCTGAATGGTATTTCTTATGCCAATATGCTATGTTAAAAGCTGTGCCAAATAAAAATGCAGGATTCATTATCTTATTTACTTCTATCTTCATCTTATTTTACTTTATGAGAAGTCTCTCTTTTTCATTCTATTTTATAACATTTACATCTAGTAGATTTTATCCGTGCTTTTGGTTTCTGAATCTTTTTTTCGTTTATTTGGATAGGTGGTCAATTTTCTGTAGACAACTTTCTATCTTATCGTCGTATCTTGACATGTAATTATTATTATATTCTTATCTGTATCTTATTTGTCTTTTTATTATTTGGTATCTTGATGTTGAAAGGCATACCCTTGACAGGCGCCGCGTAGCCTGCGCTTCCAACTCAGACAGATTGTTTGCCTCTGGATGAACATTTCGTTTATAGCTAGGACAGGTTGTCAGCTTTTCCGAAGTCCGTTTCTCCTTTTCTCAAGGCTTGCCCCATACGCCTCACACTGGGCGCAGGAAACCAGGGTCCCAGGGTGAGGCCATGGGCCTGAAGATCTGGGGCTTTCGCGGACTTGTCAGAAGACTTTGCCCCTAATCCGAACATGGAATTAGTTTTGTTCTTACTTTTTTCTTGTTTTTTTCTTCTTTTTTTCTTTATTTGTTCTTTATTTATTTTTTTATCCCCCCACAAACATCAATTACATCGCTCCGCTTGTTTCCTTGCATGCATGTCTCTCAGATCTTTCGATATTTGCGAACATCAATTCTTGGTGGGTCCTTAGGGTTTTAGCTTTTTGGGTTTAGTGGTAGTTTCCATTTAACCTTTAGCAGGGGATCTGAGGACAGCCAAGGTCTTACGTCACTCCGCATATTGTTTCCTTGCATGTGTCTTTCCGAGGATCTCTTTGCTATGCTCCGACAGCGGCGGGCTGCTTCGGATTCGGAGAATACGGAACCGCTGCCTTCACAGTCCGAGGCGAATGCGAAGCCAGTTTTCCGGCGGCCCGTGCGGGCGCCTTGGTTGAAAATGCCTCGCGGGAAGCGCAACATGCTGTGCACCGGCAACATGTGCCATGGTGAAAAGACAAGTTCCTTTATGGTCATCCACTTGGTAGCAAGGAACCTTTCAGCCTTAAGCAAAATGCCCATGGGCCATATGGGTACGGGTCAAAATTAAACACCCATTTTTGACCCACACCCATATATGGAGCTTGACCCTAGCACTTGTGCACTGCTCGGTCCATTTCCGCGGCAAATGGTGGGGCCGAGCTCAGGTTGCCGCAGCAGAAGCGCCCGAAGCGCCGCGACCGGATGCATTCACCACTCCAGGCCAGGGCGGACGCAGTGCCCGAGGATGTCCTGCACCGCCAAGAGGGGCCTGCGTACTTGGACCGATCCTAGATATGCAGAAAAGCTTAGATTCTTGAAAGTGTTGTGTAAATTCCTGCGACACATCATGTTTTCCGGACCACTCCTCAGCAGCCTCAAGCTGCAAGTGTTGCAACAGCCGAAGAGCCTGAACAGAGGTAGAAACTGCAGGCAGGCCCAAATTGGATGCCCCGTTTTTTTTCCCTTGTTGCCAGGGATGCGAATCCTCGAGGAGTGTGTGGCGGGCGAAAGAAAAGGCTGGGAAGGGGGCGTGGTAGAAGTCATGGGCTTATTCCAGTCATAGGGCGACCTACGAGTCTCTTTCTTGACATGGCCATGAGTTTTAGTAGGGAACCCCCTGAAAAGTGATTGGTGGACATGAATCTCCACCTAAATGATGTCCACCAAAGGGCCCCTTATTAAAATTCATAGCCCCTTGGCTCACTTGACTAAAGTTACTGAGGATCGGGGTGTAACTGTGCTGGGCCGCAAGGGTGTCTGTTTCACGGGTCGCCGGGTTTCTGGTGCGAATTCGGAGGCGCGCGACGCAAAGCCGAAGATCCGACGCCGATCTCCGCGGTCATCGCGGCTGCAAAGAAGCGCAAAGGAGCTGTGCCTCGACTTGGAAGGTTCAGACTAGTGAGTCCCAGACTTCACCGCTGTTGGCATGTTTTTAGTTGTTTGTAGGCGTTTTGGTTCTGTTCATTTTTAGTTGGGGGGCAGCAACAGACTTAGTTGTTGTTGCTATCATACCAAGGGTTGCAAAGAACATGCCCGTGAAATCCGGAGGTGAAATGGATGCACGGCCATTTGTTGCAGTGGCGCAGCTTAGGTTTGCATTGCGCAAGATGCGGAGTGAGGGCAGCAGCCAGCCGTTCATCGGACAAACAAAAAGATGCGACTAGGAGCCGCTGACAAGGGATATCACAAGAAAAGGGACATCGCGAGATCTTCATTGCGGGACACTCCATCCCAAGTTCAGTTGGTATTCTTTGCCTATGCCCGAGGCGAGAGACACGGAGGTCCACGCATATGGGTGTGGGTGAAAATTGGTACCCACCATGGATCCCTGGTAAATAGACACCACTAAAACCTGCGGGCCAATTCCTGGTGGTCTAATTTTGACCCACAACCACCTGGGTGGCTCCCAGCCATCCCCTGAGCCTTTTGGTTTTTCAGTGTTTAGTGAGGATTTCAACCTTGAGCAGATCTGAGGACAGCCCAGCCACATGGAAGTGGAGTCGAGGGACCCTCCAGCCTCTCTGAGGCCTTGCGAGACGTCTCTGGGGCCCACTTCAATCCTGCCGTCACCATGGCGGTGCGTGCTAGCGGCAGGGCCCCGGCAGAGGCCCGTAGGCCCGTAGGCCGCAACGCACAGCGTGCAGTTGCTTTTATCGCAATGGACAGGGGTTGATTCCTATATTTCCCTTCTTGGTGGTTTTAAACATCACCTTGGCCCATGAAAGGTGAGTGTCCCTTGGTGGGGGTGATGTTTAGAGGGAAATATAGGGAGCCCTGATAGAATCACACACATCTATGATGTCCATAAGGGAGGCAACAGGGATGGGCTGGCAGCAAAGTTCCGACTCCGCCCGCGCGCGATCTGCAGGATTTGCCCTTTGACTCAACCAATCTACGCGACCCGGCTGTGATTGTGGGAATTGTCAAGAGGGTCACCCCAGAGTCGTGAAGCTTTTTGCCTGCTGGGACGCTTTTGCTGGCTGAGCCAAGGCTTTGGAGTCTTCTATGCGCTATCTCAGGCCTGAGATTCCTCCGCCACGCAACCCCACGGTGCGAAGTAAGCGCAAGTTTTGGTTGGCGAGGTACTTGCTGCCGTGTCAGCTGCTCTGATCATAGGACTCGTGGCTTGGACGAAAGAGTAGAACCTGAGCTGCGAGCATGTCATTGTGGTTTAGCATGTTAGAATGGACACGACCTTTCGGTCAGATTCATTTTGTCACAAGCGTGATGCGACCTCGTGGTTCTTGAGGTTTACTCCTCGATCAGCACACCGACGACAAAGCTCGAGGCGCGATCCGGTCTAGGGTTTTTTGACTTGAGCCTTCGCCAAACGCAGAACACTGGAAAAGGGCGACTTTCGAAAAAAGTATACAATAAAAAATAGAAAATCCAATGACCATCCACCAACTTACCATGCTGTTCGGGACGTGGCTCAAAGATGCCTTTTTGCGAACCGATGTTTGCTGCCAGGCAACAGCCGGCTTGTGCCTGAGTTTTCGGTGCAGTGCTGCACTGACGGATCTTGTTTGTCCACTAGTGATGGCACACGTACACTCGCAAGCCACTCATGCTCTTACTGGGTAGCGAAATGTGCCCTGGCCGGGGCAGGGTGTTTCTGTTGTGGCCACGGGAAACGCATGGCCTGTCAGATCTGAGGTCAGATCATGTTTGCCGAGTGCTTTGGTGTCTTCTTCCTTTGCTACGCAGGTCTCTTAGACAGCAGTGAACATTTCAGGTCACATGTCAGGAGACAGGACGCAGCAAATATTGCCTGCACAACGCATATCAGCACTTCGTGAGTTGCAAAGTACATGCTGCATGTCAGCTACTGCGGCAGCTGGATCAATTGCCTTTCAGTTTGTTTCACACTGACATGCAACTTCTCCCTACGCTCGACCATATCCATTCGATCCTGCTTGCTGAGGTGGTGCTAGCCAGTAGTGTTACCTCCCCTGTAGACGGCTCAAGGCAGGCCTTCGAGTCATTTGAAGGGATGGCATGTGTGGTGTTGACATTGCAGGTTTGGCTTTGAGCTACGGTGCCAGATCGTTTGTTGCTGACTCATAGAGGCATATACCTTGAGCAACTATGAGCATGTGCAGCTCACCCACATCGCTGAGAGTTGAATCGGACTCCGCAGGTCCTCGCAGAACAACCTGGCTGGGCTCGCGCGGCTTTGGCAGAGCATTCGCCGAGACGGGGGATCCGTTGTTTTGACTACCTCGGAATTCACTTGAACCCAGGGGTTGCCCATTTGGTGGAATCAACCATTTGCGGGTTTAAGTCTGCCTTGGAAAGGTCAAAAAACGGAAACCTGCACCCAGATGTCCCTCTGCCTAATATGTGTCAGCTTGCTGCCAGATACGGATCTGTGGTGTTATCCTCAACCCTGACAGTCCTCGACTCAGCTCGGAAATATTGTGGGTGTGTCTTCTTGTTTTTTGGGGGGCCCGCCGAAATTTGTTTTCCTTTTGATTTCTCCTTAAAACATAGAGCACCCTCAGAAAAGACACGCCCATTTAAAGACGTGGATGCAGTTTGGCCTCAAGTTTTTGAAGGTTGTGGCCTGGTTTTCCAGTCCATGAGGTGGGCAACATCTCTGGCGCGCTGCTGAACCCAGTCACAGCAGCGACTCTCGCTCATTTTGCTGTCGACGTGTGAGCGGCCGCAATTTGCTCCGACAATTGAATATGTATGTTGATGAGGTCAGAATACCCTAAACAGTTGAGATTTTGCTGTGAAACCAGATGGTCCAGCCAAATGAACGGGATCAGAACGAGATACCGTTGTAGGAAACCATGCGACATGAGATAAACCAAGATGAAGTCTTGGTGACTGCAAACCAAAACGAGTCCGGAAGGATTGTCGTGTTTGCCAAAGAGCTCTTCGTGTACGGCTTTTTGAGCTGGAGTTGCCAAAGTGCATTGTGCGCACTACACGAGTACTGACAAGTTGTGTCTTATTCAACTGGAGCCGCCCAAGCTAGCTTGGCATGCTGCTTTTGCACTGAAAGTGTGCGATTCGCGAGCAGGAAAGCGTAGAAAACACAAAGCGCTGCAAAAGAGAGGTGATCTCCCCTTGTTTTGCTTCGATTTTGTTGTAAGATGAGTCTAAGCGAGTCCGAACCGAGATCAAACCTATGTTGGCATGGCCGACAAGATAATCCACGGCCAAGTCTCCCGACATTTGGGAGGTGGCGTCCTGCAGCTGAAACAGCGGGGTTTCGTCGTCTGGTATTGGGCTCGCAGTTTGATTTAGGGCTGGCTGTGACATTTGAAGCTGGTTTCAGCAGCGCCAGGAGAAATGTTTGCCCGCTCAAGTCGTCGCGACACACGTGCACGCCCTTTACACGCAACCATGAAGCGGACCAAATTGACCCGCTGGCGCGTCTTGTTACACAGCTCTACAAGAGCAAGATATTCGTCCTCTTAAAGTAGTTGGTTGGTCTCGATTTGACTCTGGCTGGGTCTATGACTCACCAGCCGAGCCCTCACTGCAACATGCAGCACAGCACGCTAGCTGGAAAGCGATGCTGGGGGTGTTGCCCCTAGCGAAAGAACCAACAATGCCAGCCCTGGGGCAATCGTTAAAAGGGACACTGCTGCGATGTCGCCAGGTAACTGTCATCATGGTCGGCGCTTCTGGCAGAAACTCTTTGATAGTATACACCATCTATCATGCCAGCAACTCAGTGAATGCTGACAAATGGATGTGTCTTTGTTTTTGGGACCCCGCAAATCTTTATTGGGATTTTCCTGTTGGTTTCCCTTTAAAACCATCAAAAAAGGGGGGGTGCCCTCCCAAAAGCGAGAGACCCAACTGCACCCTGACGTTGTCTTTCGCAAAACATTGAACGCGCAGTGTTGAACAGGGCTCCTTAAAAGATACGTTTTGCCCATTTGAAACATGGCATTCTCCACCAAAATAAAGTTGGACACCACCATTTACAAGGATCCCTGTTGAAGGTCAGTGCCGGCGTGCTTGCGGCTGCTGCCTTCCTTGTGACCCACGCGCAGCTTTACGTGAAGGCGCTTTTTGCGATGACATGACAGTTGGGCGACGTGAGGTTCGGTCAAAGTGTGCAACAAACTACGTTCATTGTGGGAGGACATGCGGAAGGTAATAGATTTTCTACCAACATCAGGGGAATGTTTGCTCCAAGTGGCTCAGCAACGGGCGGGGAAGATGATTGGAAAGCATTGGCACTTTCTGAGTGCTCAGAATGGTTCGCAGGCATCATCAAACACAGAGAGACCTGCGACATTGCAGCAGCTCCTTGGGGCAACTGTCTACGTGTATAACGTGCCTGCGGTTTCCACTTCAGGTTTATCAATCATCGCTTTAGTATAACTAAGTACACACCGATGCACCGCATGAAGCTGATCCTCGCAGGATGCCCGAGACGCTGATGATGAGCGCTTGGCGGGCATTTGAGCGGACAAAAACTTGGCTCACCCATAGGCAGAGAGTCATCCACATTTGGCATTCACTTGCAGTCTTCCTAAAAGTTGAGTGAATTGGTTCTGCGGACTGATCTCGCGAATTGGCCGCAGCAAGAGCGGCATGCGCGGCGGAGCGAGGGTAGATAAAAGTAGCGCGGGAAATCGGAGTGTGGCGAGTGCAGACAGCAAGCGCCTGAGTCGTAAAAAACTTCCAGCGAGTCCTGGGCTCTTTCTGGCGGGTCATGAGGGGCCCCAGTTCAAGCGGCTAAGAGCCATGTGTTTAGATTGGCGATCGGTGTCAAAGATCTATTTTGCAACTGCGTGCCCGTGCCGTCGCTTGGGGCTCTTTGCATGAATCTATCACGGCTGTTAGCCAAGAACGGATCTGCCATGGCAAGGGAGATTACGGTGCGGCAGCTGTCTGGAGCAGAAAGAGCATTTGAAGTGCTGGCAGACGTGACTGTTCGCGAGTTCAAGCGGCAGCTGCACGGGTGGCTGGCCTGCGCAGATGAATCAAAGCGCAACATAGCGACTTCCGGCTTGAAAGACACGATGCAAAGACTCCAAATAGCGCAGTGCAAAAGCAGAAGCGCACCTGACTGACGTGATGACAGGGGGCCGGGCTCTGACAATTAATTGGCTGCTCCAGAGCATGACGCACACATGCAGGCGGGTGGGGGAATTTCAATAGCGTCTTGCTTCGTTTGTTTGCTGACATTCATTGGAAGCACTTACATCAAATCCGGTTGGAGTAAGTCACATCTACATCTTTGCACTCGTGCGACAGTCAAGAAAATATCAAAACAAACAGGAGTTGAGCGGGAAGCACAAGTGGTGCACATTGCATGGAGAAGGTGCACATGACCAATGTCAGTGCAGCCCCCAAGCTGAAACACCTGCCAGACAAGGGGCTGTACTTTTTGCTTGCGCTTAAACCCATCAATACTACGCCACGATTGAACCCCTCACGTTTCCCCAAGAGTGTGATCCCCCTAAAATGCAAATATTTCTTTCACAAGTTTTCTTTAGAATGACAAGTGACAAGGTGTTCAAGCTCACAAAGGGAACGTCCCTTGGAGGCCAGCGCCCCCTCATAAACAACCCCCCGACGATTTATCCCGGGCCTTTTTGGTCTCAACAAGAATACAGTTGTTGTCATTCCAAATAAGCATTCATCATCCACAATATGTGATTGATAGGCACACTTCACCGTTTCTGTTTTTTTTGCCCCCAATAAAAAACGTAATCAACTAAGTGATGGTATAATTAACATGGAATGCACTCAAATCACAAAATCAAACATATGTATCAATTGTAATTAAGGGCAAGGACCGAAAGGGGTCCTCCAGTTCAATTGGCCAGCAGCAAAAGGACAAGGACAAAAGAGGCTCCAGATAAATCAGGGGGTCCTCCAAAACATCTCAGTTTTGGGGGCTTTTCCAAAGCGGTGTCTACCTTGAAACGGGGTGGGGGGGGGCTCAACTCATTATAGCTTGTTGGAGGGTTGACTTGGAAGGCTCTTGTATGGACTTGGGATGAATTAGGATGGATTCGGTGCACTCGGCCACACCCCGCCTCTTCCAGGGCGGAGTGCTTTGTCGCCAAGAAGGAGTCCGTTGCCGCAGGGGAAAGACCCGCTTGAGGGGTGGATCCTTTTGAGGGGGAGACAGCCCATGCCCGGGGAGTTGTGAGCATGGCGCAGTGTGGAAGCAGGAAGCTTGTCAGGCGTCGATGGCTTTCTTTGTCAGCTCGAAGGTCGCTAGCCGTAAACAGGACGATAAATCATTAGAGAAGCCATGGCTCGCTCCCTTGTGCTGACCGGTGCTGTGCTGCTGTGCTCGGGCGCGCTCTTCAGCGCATTCGTGCCCGTTGCCCGCGCTCCTGTGTCTGCCCCGGCCACCAATGCAGGCACTGCGGCAGCCCTGAGCGCAGCAGTCCTGGCGACGCCACAGGCGGCGTTCGCGGATGAGGGCTCTGTCTGGATCCCTGCGCTGTCCGCCATCGGGGCTGGCTTCGCAATCGGATTGGTAGCTCAGTCCGCGTAGCCCATTAGTTTTCCCTTTTCGGTCCACTTTTAGTGGCCTTCAAAGGTGATCACCTTGTTATTTTCAGGTTATTTTGGCAAGTAAGGCAGCCATCGGCTCCGGAGTCGGCCAGGGCATCGCATCGGGCAGGTGCATTGATGGCATCTCCCGGCAGCCTGAGGTCGCGGATGACCTGCGAGGAGTGCTGCTGCTGTCCCTGGCCTTCATGGAGTCCCTGACCATTTACGGATTGGTGATCGCCCTGGTGCTCCTCTTCGCCAACCCCCTCATCAAGTAAATGACACATGACCAAAGAACTGGCTGAGCGACTTTTTCCGGAGTTTTGCCCGAAGCTTTGCATGGGTTCAAGCCATGCTGGAGCGGTCGGCTTTGAAAGCTAGCAAAAAGCTGACCAGCATCCTATAGCGCGAGCCTGACCGATTCGTCTATGATGTTGTTTGCCTGCTAAATTCAGAGTGTTTCGGAATCGAAGCGATACGGCCGTGCCGCGTTCTTCTCAGGCGCCGTCCCCTTGAACAGAGAATCGTCAGCATGTTCTGCGCAAGTTTGGTATATTATGGGCTTGTTGCAACCTTGATGAAGCGCGCAGACTTACTTTCATTGCCTCAATCAAATACAGGTCATGAATGATTTTTTTGCAGAATCTTCGGCTGACCAGTTGCTAGGCTCATGACCAGTATCATTGAAAGGCCACCACCTCAAACTCGGAGCAATACTGCCGCAGGAGCCAGCTCCTGCGATCAGCAGAGGAGGCCTGAGCTGTCTCCTCGCCTCGTTGGGCCGCGAGGGATTTCCCGAATGGCGTTCCAAGTACGAATGTACGGGAAAGCTATCTGGGCTTTTCCGGTTGCATGATTTGAGCTGGTTTTATTTGATTTCTTGTTATTTCCGTTTGTTTTGTGGCGTTGTCGGCTTGTGCAGCTGTTCCTTGAAAGGTAGGAGTGGGAAGCCCAACAATGGCAGAAGCACGCTTCTATTCATTCCCTTCTCTGACTCTCATTCCCACTCCCTCTCTCCCTCTCTCTCTCTCTCTCTGTTTTTTTCTGTTTCTCTTTCTCTGTCTGGGTCTCTGTCTCTTTCTCTCTCTCCCTCTCTCTCTCTCTCTTTCGATAAAATACACGTGCAAATGCTGTGTTGTTGTGTTTTTGTTTAATCACAAACAAATGTAGTCTGCCGCAGCCCTTGTTTCCTCTCCAGCTGTAGTGAGGCTCAAGGCCTGCAGTATGTATCAACTACTAGTGCACATGCAACTGTATCATGCACTCACTGTAGTTTAACACGCCCCCCTCGGTTGTGCAACCTGGAAGTGTTGTGCAACCGTAGTTGAAAAAGGGGGGCATCCAAAAGGAACTGAACTAACATGTAGTTTTTTTGTTCTGCAAAAATGACCGAAGGTAGGTCTACTACAACGCTGCTGGCTGTAGTTCATCTAACCCTCAAAGGCCAAATAATGCAGTGACTGTACAGGGTCCTAGTTAACCCTCAGTAGTCTCAGTGACTCAAATGACGTAGTCCAGCATGTGGTGATCAAGCATGCTGCTGCCAGTTGTGAAGTCTGTAGTTGTGCACTAGCTTCATCCCGTCGTCGATCGTTGAGTTGTAGTCGTTGTGGTGAAGTAAGGTCGGTCATGGTGAGTAGTGTGAAGCCGTAGTAGTGTGTGCTTTTGTGCAGAATGGTAGTGATTGCTTTGTGTTGAAAGTCGTGTAGTTGGTCGTGGTGGTTGAGGTAGTGAAGTAGGTCAGGTAGAAGCAAGGGCATGTGGTAGTTCCAAAAGTAGTTGTTCTTCAGGCTGTAGATCTCGGTGAACCTGCTCATGTCGTAGTCCACCTTGTAGATGTGTTGCGCGGGTCATGAGGTTGGAAGGTAGTGTGGTGTTTGAGTGGAGAGCAAGGAGATGTAGTCCCGGGTGAAATGAAGTAGTTGTCCTGAGGTAAGATACCTCAGCAGTGCTCCTGCTCAATGTGTAGTTTGACAACAACGTAGTGGTCAGGGTGACCAGTTGTGGTGTGGAATGAAGCACGCACAGGGCCAACGCTATTCCCCAGCCCTCGCCTTTGCCAGCCTTTTTCCTTGGCTTCTTTGCGCGATTGCTTTCTTTCTTCTAGCTTTTTGAGAGCTTTTCCCAGGTGATAGCTACCCATCCTCCTTAGAGGATGGGATGAGGATGAAGTCAAATAGTGGTTTTTTCCTTTCGTGTTCTTTCTCATTCTCTATTTTCTTCATTTCTCTACCTTTGTCTGGCTTTCATTATTTCTTCGTTTTGGAGGTTTTGGGGGGCAAGAAGGCTGCACTGCCCCAACAGCAATGACAGGCGCTGCAGACCTTCAGGCCAACTTTGCTGAGTCCATGGGATTTGGCTCCGCACCGAGAGTGTGAGTTAGGTTGCAAAGCTGCAAGAACAGCTCCCGTGTAGTGTGCGCATGAGCTATTGGCCAGATGTCAGCCGCTGCAGCCCTTTTTTTGAAAAACACCTCCCACAGATCATCAATTGGACCATGGCTCGCTCTCTGGTGCTGACCGGTGCTGTGCTGCTGTGCTCGGGCGCGCTCTTCAGCGCATTTGTGCCCGTTGCCCGCACTCCTGTGTCTGCCCCGGCCACTAATGCAGGCACTGCGGCAGCCCTGAGCGCAGCAGTCCTGGCGACGCCACAGGCGGCGTTCGCGGATGAGGGCTCTGTCTGGATCCCTGCGCTGTCCGCCATCGGGGCTGGCTTCGCGATCGGATTGGTAGCTCAGTCCGTGTTTCCCTTTTCGGTCCACTTTTAGTGGCCTTCAATGGCGATCACCTTGTTATTTCCCGGTTATTTTGGCAAGTAAGGCAGCCATCGGCTCCGGAGTCGGCCAGGGCATCGCATCGGGCAGGTGCATTGATGGCATCTCCCGGCAGCCTGAGGTCGCGGATGACCTGCGAGGAGTGCTTCTGCTGTCCCTGGCCTTCATGGAGTCCCTGACCATTTACGGATTGGTGATCGCCCTGGTGCTCCTCTTCGCCAACCCGCTCATCAAGTGAGCTCCAGGAGCAGTAGAATTCTAGGATTCCAGGATTCAATGAGTTTTCCTAGCAGAAGGGTCTCGAGGCCCATTTCAGCAGAGCAGAAGAGAGGTAAAGGAGGCATGGGGGGTGCATGGGCAAGACACTTGCGTGCCGATGTGTTTGCCTGAAGTCAACGCGAAGCGCTTGAAGAGTTGACAACCAAGTTCGAACTGGGTGTGCTTTTTTGAATGTTGTCTTGTTTTTTGCGACAAGCACATCTCCATCCATTCAAAGCATAGACCAGCCTTGACAGTACCCACAGTTGAAAACCCAAAACCAATACTGTGTCGCCAACACCCACGAACCGGCCCAAGCCAACCGTAAACCAACCCTTGTCATCAAATCCAGACTCAAGCAGATTCTAAGCTGACCTCAACCAACCGCCCTCCCCTTCTCTTACCACCCCTCAAACGCACCTGTCGCCCGTTGCCTGGTGTGTACCGAGTTGGCGCAGCTTGCAATGAAAAGATCATTCCCAACAACCTGGTCCCAAGCAGAACGTATCTCGCGGTCCCGCCGGGCTGAGAATTACCTTGCTGGGAGTTTCTGGAGCAAGCCTTCAAAAGCTACCGTGCTTTCCCCCCTCTTTGACAAGCCATGGCTCGCTCTTTGGTGTTGACCGGTGCCGTGCTGCTGTGCTCGGGCGCGCTCTTCAGCGCATTTGTGCCCGTTGCCCGCGCTCCTGTGTCTGCCCCGGCCACTAATGCAGGCACTGCGGCAGCCCTGAGCGCAGCAGTCCTGGCGACGCCACAGGCGGCGTTCGCGGATGAGGGCTCTGTCTGGATCCCTGCGCTGTCCGCCATCGGGGCTGGCTTCGCGATCGGATTGGTAGCTCAGTCCGTGTAGCCCATTGGTTTTCCCTTTTCGGTCCACTTTTAGTGGCCTTCAAAGGCGATCACCTTGTGATTTCCCGGTTATTTTGGCAAGTAAGGCAGCCATCGGCTCCGGAGTCGGCCAGGGCATCGCATCGGGCAGGTGCATTGATGGCATCTCCCGGCAGCCTGAGGTCGCGGATGACCTGCGAGGAGTGCTTCTGCTGTCCCTGGCCTTCATGGAGTCCCTGACCATTTACGGATTGGTGATCGCCCTGGTGCTCCTCTTCGCCAACCCGCTCATCAAGTGATTTTGTCTGACTCACAAGATTCAAAGCTTTTTCTGGAGTGCGAGCTCAAAAGAGTTGTGCTGCGCGCTTTGCTGACTTTGATCCATTCTTTGCAGTTGGCGGTTTTACGGCTTCAACAGGCCAGGTGCGGGATACCCCACTTGGCATCGCAAATTGGATGTGAGTACCAACTTGAGCGACCCTTGCGTTTGAGGTTGGGGGACTCCAACGACCTGAGTTGCGTGGAATGGTCAGCGGGGCTCAGAAGCCAGGCTTGCGCCATGCTGCGCAGAGCACTGCCTGCGTCATGGGTCCTTTGGGCATCGTGTTAAGGTTCTGAGTTCTTGGCACAGGAGTTCCTCCTTGCGGCCGTTCAAGAAACAAAGGTTCTGCGTTTGATCTAGGCATCACATGTTTTGGCGCCTTCCCAAAACAAGTTTGCTTCGGTTTTTGTGGCTAAATCAATGCCGGGAACGGAGCATGTGCTGCGGTGCAATGCGTGCATTGCAGCGTCATGGGCGCTGCTGAATCGAAGACCTTCCAGACGGGAGGCGGCCGGCAGTTTCTGCGACAGCAAGTCGATCGTGGAGGCGCTGGAAGCGAGTGGGCCGTGTGCCGGGGCTCGCAAGACGAGCGTTCTGCGAGAGGGTCAGCCGCAGTCGCAGGAGCAAGCAAAGCTCGCGAGTCTGGCAACAGCAGTGTCGGCTGCCACGGACTTGGCAACCTACTGGTCCAACAGTGTGCGAGCTTATGCGCTGAGTCGCAGCCCTTTCCTGCGCCCGCCGGTCTTCAGTGCTTTGTGGCGCCTACACATCGATTTTCTGCCCGGCACATCAGGATCAGTGTCCGCCTTGCTGCGCGCAGCACATGCTCGCAGGGTCTTGGAGATTCAACTCTCGGGGGAGACGGTCAGAGGGGTGGCCTGGTGTGTGGCCACCACGCCCACGCCCGAGCAAGGCTTCCCCAAGGCTGGATGGGGATTTGTGTGGCTGTGGCTTGCGGCTTGCGTGGCTTGAGCTAGAGAATCAGCTTGGGAGGTGGTGGTGCCGCCGGTGCCGATCGCAGACGCAGAGGAGGCTTCCCGTCGCTTCAAGGCGCTGCAAAACAGGCCGCGCCCCGCTGCGGTGAAGGAGGGCGAGCGCACGGGCGAGGCGGCGGTGGCGCCGCTGACGCTAACGCTGGAGTCTGAAGATGCCACGGCGGATCGGCTTGCAGACTTGTCTGGCCGCCGCATCATCAAGACGTCCTTGGATGCTTGCCAAGTGGGCAGGATTTGGGTAGTTCAACTACCGCCTTCCCAGGAACTGCCCTACTTAAACGGGTGATCGGGTACCTAGTAAGTGGCTAGTACGCCTGGTCACAATCCACTTCGGATACTTATCACCATGGCTTTTGTGGGATAATGGTTATTCCCCACTTACCTGCAATGTCCCTTTATCTGATTTCGGGAGCTCCAACCGCGGTGATCGCCCCTTTCAAGCCAGGCCGTTTCGTTGCCCTCGTTCCGTTTCGCTCACCGAAGCCGAGGACCCCAAGGCCTGTGGGGACGTGGGCCCGGTGCTGAGCAGCGCGGTGCGCCTGGCCGCGGCGCTGGCGGCGGCGCCGCTCGCGGCGCTGCGCACCGTGGAGGCGGAGGCGTCGCCGCTGGCCCCGGGCTGCGCCGTGGAGCTGCGCGCGCGGCGGGACGGGGACGGCGTGCTGGTCACCGGCTGGGTGGGCGGCAAGGACGTGCTGAGGCTCAAGGCCCTGTTCGCGCCGGAGGAATGACGGAGGTGGAAGTCTGATGTGGCTTGTGTTCTTTTCCTCTTAAAGATCTCCAGAGGAGACGTTGGAATCAGAAAGGCAGCGAGACTTGTACGCAAAAACATCGCACCGTTGTGCGGCAGTTGGAGGGCATGCGGACACGGTTCAGCTTGTATCGCACTCGCTGCTCAGGTGGCAGAGGTTCTTCATGCAGGCCCGTGCTGCAGGGTGGCAGACACTGACATGATGCTGCGTGCAGCAGCTCGAGATTGCAGCGCATGCTTAATGTGCTTCAAGCTTCAACCGCATTCTTAGAAGCTACTTGCAGAGAGCCGGTTTCTCAAGTGCCAAGATGTTCCTCACCCGCCCACATGACCACGGATGTACAGCATTGAGAGCGATCTGAGTCAGCAAGCTAGGAACTTGAATGAGTTTTCTTGGACTTGGCGGATCAACTGCTTCAGGATGAGGGGAAGGACAGGAAGCAGGACTTCCTGCACTTCCGCCGCGCTCTGGATGGCATGCGAGCCCAGCAGGAGGCTGGGAGCGATTTCTTGCGTCATAGCATTTTCATGCCAATGTCACACTGTTGCCTGCCTTGGTGTTGTTTCCGCAACGTTGCCGTGCAAGGGCACGGAGACGCAGTGCAACAGTCTGAAGTCCCAGGGCGATGACCCCGGAGTGAGTTTGGGTCCATGTCGAGAAGAGAACATGCCTTGCGCAGCTGTTTTAAGCACCACTTGCCGCAAGGCGGCTCAGATCCTTCAGGTCCAATGTGATTCATTTTATTGAACGGTTGCGACATGCCTGGAGTGATGAATGAAGGAGATCGCTTTTGCCGGTCGTTCACCCGTACCTAGTGCCCCCTTGTTGATTTGCGCATACGGTGCTTGTTGATTTGCATTTTCCTCTGAGATGCATCAGCTCAAATGCAGCTTGGCAGGCATGTGCACAGGGTGTCACAGGCCGGCCCTGAGGTATCAGAGCCGGGTGCCGGTTGAGTGGCAGCTGGCCTTGATGGGATTGCAGTGAGCTGCATGCTTGGGGAAAAGGGCCAACTTTCCAACTGCCGGCTGGGAGATCTTTGTCTCATTTAGAAGGGGGGGGGTGGTCCAAATGACCTCCGGCTGGGTGCTGAAAGGTGCTTCCACCTTTGAAAGGGGGAATACCAACAAAAATCAAGCTGGCCACTCATCTCTCTCGTTCTTGTTCCACATCCTAAAGCAGCAAAAAGGCTGACGGAACAATGGGGCCCTCGACTTCCGACCCATTTGCCGTCTTGGAACCGCCTCACGTGCAGTGCCCGTGCCGCAGCTGTGAGCCCGAGATCTCGGGCCGAGTTTTGAGCTTCTGGTGGCCAGGCGCTTAGCCGCCGGTGGGATTTGGTCTTGGGGGTTTTTGCCCCCCAAAATGGGGGGCGGGGAGGAAGGTTCCCCTTCTCACCTCCCAAAACCAACCAAAAAGGGGCTTCCCTAAAACAAAAACAAGTGAATATGCCTCGGCAGCTTCTCGAGTGAGCCATCAGGAAGGCCAGTATGGCGAGGGAAGAAGAGGAGGAGGACATCCAGTTCAGCGACAATGTGCTTCGGGCTTCAACCACATTCTTAGAAGCTACTTGCAGCCGGTTTCTCACGTGCCAAGATGTTCCTCACCCGCCCACATGACCACGGATGTACAGCATTGAGAGCGATCTGAGTCAGCAAGCTAGGAACTTGAATGAGTTTTCTTGGACTTGGCGGATCAACTGCTTCAGGATGAGGGGAAGGACAGGAAGCAGGACTTCCTGCACTTCCGCCGCGCTCTGGATGGCATGCGAGCCAAGCAGGAGGCAGGGAGCGATTCGCTGCGTCATAGCATTTTCATGCCAATGTCACACTGTTGCCTGCCTTGGTGTTGTTCCGCAACGTTGCCGCAGGGCACGGAGACGCAGTGCAACAGTCTGAAGTCCCAGGGCAATGACCCCGGAGTGAGTTTGTGTCCATGTCAAGAGGGAGCAACACTAGCAGCATTTGGCCCAGTGGAGTATGTTAAAGTGTTATATGACGCTGGATACTTGGCTAATTACTTGATGCCACTCGGGATATCAGGCGACGTGTTCCCACGAGACGTGATTTTTGAGAATCAATTCCTTGAGAGCAAGAGCAGCAGAAGATGGCAAAATCACGAAACGTAGTACAACCAGCTTTCATTTCAGGAATTCAGGAATTCCTAGCCAGGGAGAAGTATAATGTGGTTTGGTCTGAGTGCGGCGTGAGGTAATCAATTTTTCAGCTTGGGCCTCTTCATGCAGGCGGGGAGGGGTGGGTCACGGGCCTTTGGGGGCTATTGACCACACGCATTGCCGCTTTTGCCATGAGCCACAATCAAAACCCAGGTAGATGCAGGTTTGCCAGGGATACTCCCGACCATAAAATTGGTGCTGCTGCCTTCTTGAATTCCTTTCTTCCATTTGGGGGTCACAATTTTGGTACTTGTTTTGATTTTGACTGAACTGCCCGACTCAAAGGCGGCCATGATGTACAGTGAAGCCGGGCTCTTAGCTGCTTTCGAAGGCTGAGAGACTGGTCTGAGCACTGAGGAGCCGTTTTGGCGCGCCTCTTTGTGAGGATCTTCTCGTCAAACCAAGTGCCACAAGATAGGAACCATTTCCCTTTCCGGTGCCAAAAGCAATGTGGGGAGGGACTTTCCGGATACGAAGCTGCTGACCGTAGTCAGGCCTTGGATCTTCAGCCCGAGAACACCGTCTTGCTGAACAACAGGGCCATGGCCTACCTGAAGCAGGTGAGGACGTAGCCTCCGGACGTTGCGTTCCATGGCACCGGAAAGGGGGAAATGGCCCCTTGCAAGTGAATATTGATCAGGTTCCCTCCAAAATCTTGGATTTACCCTTCCTCCCATCAACACGTCGTGTGTTTTTTCTAGGTTGGGGGGCCTAAGTCCTCCAGTTCTGCTGAGGCATGCCAGCCAGACATGAGGGCAATCACAGCAGCGCACCGTGGCCGGCAGGGCATGGCTGATGAAGCGATCGCAGATGCCGATCGCAGCCTCGACTTGGACCGGTCCAACGAGAACATCAAGGCTGCCGATGCTGCAGCGCAGCGCGGCGTTCATGCAGCAAGTGCCATGTGGATTGCTGAGCAGCTTCATGGACCCGTGTGGCCTGTTTCAACCGAAGACTTGGAATCTGTTGGACAATCTAGTGCTTTTGTGTGGTTGATTCCTCAGCTTCCCCATGTCTGAAAGGCAGATTGTGGGGCTTGAGAGACCACGTCACCATGTGGAAGCTTCTGGTTCAACTAGCCGTAGTTTTGGGCTAGGAAATCCGCGAGGATCCTGTCTTGTTTGGGCATTGGGCGATTTTTGTTCGGAAAAGCCGAGAAAGCTAATCACTAAATGAGGTTCCTTCTCCTGGACACACCCGGGCTTCTTTCAGCGTGCATCAATGCTGCGAGGCATTCTGGCGCCGAGCGCAGGCACTGCCCTGTGTATGCTTGCAGGTCACAATTGTTTGCAGCGTCTATGAGCTGGCTTGTTTCGGACATGGGTATGGAAATGTACGGCGCGGCAGAGCTGATATGTACTACATTTTGCAGAGTGTCAACTTGTCATTGACATAGTGAGTCGGGCCTCTTCAATTATCACCGCCACTTACCATGGTTATAAGTCTGCTAAGTGGGCTATAACCAGGTTTAGAAACCACTTACTAAGTGCCCCTTTAATCTGAGACACCATTCGTGATCCCAAGGCTATGAACATCAGAATCCGAACCTCATGCCTCTTTTTCTGTGCTACTGACCTGTGAGCCTTTGAAGGGGCTGAAAGAAGACTTAGCAGGGACTTAGGAGAGGGCATTGAGTCGTCTTGGCATCTCTGAAACGCTGCGAGGCCTTGTTGGACCTCGAACGCTACAAGGAGGCCGAGCTTGCTGCCGACGCGGGCATCGCGGTGCAGGTGCGTATGGGCGCGGCGAGTGATTTTGCGCGGGGTTGGTATTTGCAGGTTCCAGCTTGTTCTCAGGGACGCAGGGGCACCCTTAGGCCAGGGCTGACTCCTGTATTTGTGTTCGAGCTCGCGGGGAGGTGCTTGACTGCGCATGCGTGCACCGTCAATTTGTCTTTGATTTTTCCGACATGTGGTTTGTCCGTGCGCGGGATTTGCACGTGCGGCCCCCCTATTGCTCTTCCTGGATTCTCAAAGCCTACGGTCGTCTTTGGCTGAGGCCAACAACCTCAAAATCAACCCCAACCCAACCAACCCCAACCCAACCCCCCAAAAATAAAGAGACCGCCCCTTCCCCCATCCCCGCCCCTACTGCACCTCCGGGCTTCTCAAGGCCCGTCTTGAGGCCAACAACCAGCACCTCGCGCGGGTGCGGCGCAAGGCGCGGGAGGCCACGGCGCAGCGCCGGCTCTGCGGCGTGGATTGGGCCCGGGCACCCGGCACTCGCCCGGCTCCGAGCGGAAGCAACGAGGGGTGGGGTTTGGGGGGCTTGATGTTTGATGAGTAGGTCTTACTGAAAGGGGTTACTTTCGTTGAACATGGTTTTTTTGGTATCCTCAGTGGGTTGTAGCCTTTGGTTTGGTTGGTAGGTCTTACTCAAAGGGGGTACGTGAGCCATGTCCGCAAAACCCGAGTAGATGAAGGTTAGTAAGGGGTACTCCCAACCCTAAATAGCTGCGGCCGCCTTCTTAATTCTTTGCGTGGTTCTGGGTAGACCATGTTAATACCGGGTTTGATTCGGACTCACGTGATGTAAGTAAAACAATAGCCATGGTGAGATATCTCACTGAACATGGTTATAAGTATCCTAAGTGGGTTGTAGCCTTTGGTTTGGTTGGTAGGTCTTACTCAAAGGGGGTACATGAGCCATGTCCTCAAAGCCCGAGTAGATGAAGGTTAGTAAGGGGTACTCCCAACCCTAAATAGCTGCGGCCGCTTCTTAATTATTTACACGCTGACGCGACACAGCCGGCCACCGGGCACCTTGCCCTGCCCGTTCTGTCACTTCCCTTTCCGGTAAGTCCGATGAGTAGATGTGAAGATTTAAAAATTCTAAAGACTTTGAGATTCTAAGGGTCTCAGATTTGAAGACTTTTGGAATTTAAGGTTATTTAAGGTTTTTGAAGGTTATACCAGCCAGGCCATTGCCCAGCCATTTTCCATCCTTATCAGATTTCGAAGGCTTTAAGATTCTTTTTTTTGGTGAGATTTTCAGATTGGGCGACTTTCGGAATTTAAGATTTTAAGATCTTAAGATGTCAAGACTTCAAAATTTCAAGATTAAGAGTTTAAGGAATTTAGAATATAGCCCGGATTGAAGGAATTTTACTATACTTTACTTGTTTATGAATTTAAGATTTTCAGATTGCAATAGTTCGATATTTAAAGAATTTAAGTTTTTGAAGCTTTTAAGATTCTGATTTTAAGAGTTTGAGAATTTAGGAGTTTCATATTTTAAGATTTTAACATCTGAAGATTCAAAGACATGAGGGTTTCTGTCACTTTCCTTTCCTGTAAGTCCGATGAGTAGATGTTAAGATTTAAAAAGTCTAAACACTTTGAGATTCTAAGGGTCTCAGATTTGAAGACTTTCGGAATTTAAGGTTTCAATGGTTTAAGAATTAAAGTTCTAAGATTCAAAGATTTAAGGTTTTTGAAGGTTATAACAGCCAGGCCATTGCACAGCCATTTTCCATCCATTATCAGATTTCGAAGGCTTTAAGGTTTTTTTTTTGAGATTTTCAGATTTGGCGACTTTCGGAAGCTAAGATTTTAAGCTTCAAAATTTCAAGATTAAGAGTTTAAGGAATTTAAAATATAGCCCGGATTGAAGGGATTTTATTATATTTTACTTGTTTATGAATTTAAGACTTTCAGAGTGCAATAGTTCGAGATTTAAAGAATCTAAGTTTGGAAAGCTTTTCAGATTCTGAGATTTTAAGACTTTGAGAAGTTAGGAATTTCATATTTTAACATTTTAACATCTGAAGATTCAACGACATGAGGGTTTTAAGAAGTCAAGATTCGAAGACTTGAGGATGTTTATATTTTCAGGTTGCAAGATTCTATCTTCTAAGGTTGTAATTTTAAGATCTTAAAGTTTCAAGATTTCAAAAATTCAAGATTAAGAGTTTAAGGAAGTTAAAATATAGCCCGGATTGAAGGAATGTAATGTTGTAATAATTTAAGATTTTCACATTTCAATTGTTCGAGGTTTAAAGAATTTAAGTTTTTAAAGCTTTTTAAGATTCTGAGATTTTAAGATTGTAAGACTTTAGGAATTTCATATTTTAAGAGTTTAAGATCTCAATATTCTAAGACATAAGGTTTTTAAGGCTTCAAGATTCGAAGACTTTAGGAAGTTTTTATATTTTCAGATTTTAAGATTCTAAGTTCTAAGATTTTAAGATCTTGAGATTCTAAGATTGATTGTTAGATTTTAATTTAAGATTTTAAGAATCTAAGAGTTTAGGATTTTGAGAGTTCAATCCAGGCCATTTTCCATCCACTTCAGATTTTAAGATTTTCAGGTTGCACGTTTTCGGCAACATTGGCCCGACTTAGGGGACAACATCCCCAGCATCCCCCGCATCGCCAGCATGCATAACATCATCCGCATCATCCGGGATGATGCTGGCAATGCTGGGGGTGTTGTCCAGTATTAGGCACCCCCTAAAAATACTCGTTTTTGGACTCGTTTTTGGGCGCTGCGAGGAGATGCTATCGCCTAAACCAATCCGCAAACCCCCTAAAAATTTACTCGTTTTTGGACTCGTTTTTGGGCGCTGCGAGGAGATGCTACAAAAATCCTCGGAAATCGCCTAAACCAATCCGCAAATCCTTCGCCCCTTCCGCAAATCCTTCGCCCCAAGGGAGGGCCCAGCATAAAACGTATGCGCATGTTCTGCGCATGTTCTGCGCATGGTCTGCGCATGGTCGGCGGCATGGGGCGCGCGGCCTTATACCTGAAGGTAAGCCCTAACGGGCTTTGGCCTGCGGCCCGATCACGTCCGGTGGCCGGATTTACACGCTGACGCGACACAGCCGGCCACCGGGCACCTTTTCCTTGAATTCCCGTTCTTTTATTTCCTTTTCCTTGAATTCCCGTTAGCTTCTGGGATTTGAAATTTGCTTCCTCTGCATGTCTTCCCTGCATGTCCGACAAATTCTGGCATTTCCCTTCACTTCCTTTTCCTTGAGCACCCCTTCATTCGCATTCCTTTCCCTTAGTTTATTGTAGTTCTCGCGGCTTCAACCTCGCTTCCCATGTCACGTCACTTTCCCGCACATCTCTTCACTTCTCTTCGTTTCCCATAATTTCACAGTTTCTTTTCGTTACCGTTCTCCGGTTCCCTTCGCGTTCTGCCCTTGCATTTTGCTCACTTCCAGTCACTCCTTTTTCTGCAATTTTCAGCCCCTTGGTTTACATTGCCAGCACGCATAGCATCATCCGCATCATCCGGGATGATGCTGGCAATGCTGGGGGTGTTGTCCAGTATTAGGCACCCCCCCAAAACGCTCGTTTTTGGACGCCGCGGGGAGATGCTACAAAAATCACCAAAACCAATCCGCAAATCCTTCGCCCCTTATAAGGAAAGGCCCAGCACAAACGTATGCACATGTTCTGCGCATGGTCGGCGGCATGCGATGAGTAGATGTTAAGATCTTAAAATTCTAAAAACTTTGAGATTCTGAGGGTCGGATTTGAAGATTTTCGGAATTTAAGATTTCAATGGTTGAAGAATTAAGGTTTTAAGATTCAAAGATTTAAGGTTTTTGAAGGTTATAACAGCCAGGCCATTGCCCAGCCATTTTCCATCCAAGGCTTTAAGATTGTTTTTTTTTGAGATTTTCAGATTTGGCGACTTTCGGAATTTAAGATTTTAAGATCTTAAGATGTCAAGACTTCAAAATTTGAAGATTAAGAGGTTAAGGAATTTAGAATATTGCCCGGATTGAAGGAATTTTATTATATTTTACTTGTTTATGAATTTAAGATTTTCAGATTGCAATAGTTCGAGATTTAAAGAATTTAAGTTTTTGAAGCTTTTAAGATTCTGAGATTTTCAGATTTTGAGAATTTAGGAGTTTCATATTTTAAGATTTTAACATCTGAAGATTCAAAGACATGAGGGTTTCTGTCACTTCCCTTTCCTGTAAGTCCGATGAGTAGATGTTAAGATTTCAAAATTCTAAAAACTTTGAGATTCTAAGGGTCTCAGATTTGAAGACTTTCGGAATTTAAGGTTTCAATGGTTGAAGAATTAAGGTTTTAAGATTCGAAGATTTAAGGCTTTTGAAGGTGATAACAGCCAGGCCATTGCCCAGCCATTTACCATCCATTATCAGATTTCGAAGGCTTTAAGATTCTTTTTTTGTGAGATTTTCAGATTTGGCGACTTTCGGAATTTAAGATTTTAAGATCTTAAGATGTCAAGACTTCAAAAGTTGAAGATTAAGAGTTTAAGGAATTTAGAATAATATAGCCCGTATTGAAGGAATTTTATTTTATTTTACTTGTTTATGAATTCAAGATTTTCAGACTGCAATAGTTCGAGATTTAAAGAATTTAAGTTTTTGAAGCTTTTAAGATTCTGAGATTTTCAGACTTTGAGAATTTAGGAATTTCATATTTTAAGATTTTAACATCTGAAGATTCAAAGACATGAGGGTTTCTGTCACTTCCCTTTCCTGTAAGTCCGATGAGTAGATGTTAAGATTTAAAATTCTAAAAACTTTGAGATTCTAAGGGTCTCAGATTTGAAGACTTTCGGAATTTAAGGTTTCAATGGTTTAAGAATTAAGGTTCTAAGATTTCATATTTTAAGAGTTTAAGATCTCAAGATTCTAAGACATAAGGTTTTTAAGATTTCAAGATTCGAAGACTTTAGGAAGTTTTTATATTTTTAGATTTTAAGATTCTAAGTTCTAAGATTTTAAGATTTGAGATTCTAAGATTGATTGTTAGATATTAATTTAAGATTTTAAGAATCTAAGACTTTAGGATTTTGAGATTTCAATCCAGGCCATTTTCCATCCATTTCCATCCACTTTAGATTTTAAGATTTTCAGGTTGCACGTTTTCGGCAAAATTGGCCCGACTTAGGGGACAACATCCCCAGCATCCCCCGCATCGCCAGCATGCATAACATCATCCGCATCATCCGGGATGATGCTGGCAATGCTGGGGGTGTTGTCCAGTATTAGGCACCCCCTAAAAATGTTCGTTTTTGGGCGCTGCGGGGAGATGCTACAAAAATCGCCTAAACCAATCCGCAAATCCTTCGCCCCTTATAAGGGAGGGCCCAGCACAAAACGTATGCGCATGGTCGGAGCATGGTCGGCGGCATGGGGCGCGCGGCCTTATACCTGAAGGTAATCACGTCCGGTGGCCGGATTTACACGCTGACGCGACACAGCCGGCCA